TTTTCTTTTTTTTTTTTTTTTTTTCTCTCTCCCTTCCATCTCCAACGACGATGTTATTTGATTTGAACTCTCTCGATTCAAGTTTTTGGATCAGGTTCCAATCTCGAATTTTCGAATGATCGATCTTTTTCATTCGCGCTTGTTAAAGCAATTCGAGGTTAATTTTAAGTTTTAGGGGGAATTTATATGCAAGGGAGATGGAAAGGAAAAATTGTGTTAACTTTAAATTTTGTTCGAGAAATTCGCGACTTTTCAAATTCAAAAATAGAGAAATTGGAGGAAACTTAGGGATTCATGGGAGAAAGATTGGTTGGACTGATATGCGGCTTTTTTTTACATTCGCTCATTCTATACGTTAAGTGTGTGCAACTGAAAACAGGGTTAATTGCAGTCCACGAGCTATCAAGTATACAGTCGTGAAATTCTTGACCTGCATGCATAAAATCGCTTTGATCAGGAATTCGAAGAAGCTGGACATCCCGATCGCTTGTGTTAAGCTTCCAGTCGGTTGCTCCTCTCCTCCTCCTCCTCCTCCTTCAGCCCCTCTGTTTCTCCGAAATTTCGGATTATTCCTTGGATATCTGGATTATTTGAATATCGTTCATGCGTTCGAAATATTCGAAAGAACAGGGGGGAATATTTTTTAAATTTATTCGATTTTTAATTGTAATTTTATTTGAAGTATAGGGAATTGACATCTCGATGAAATTTTCGATATTGGAATATTTTTTTAATATTGGAATATCTTGTCTCTGATTTTCTAGATTCGAATAGATAATGATCGATATCTGGATTTTAATATTCATTGCAGAATGTATTCTTTGATTTCGTCGAATTTAAAATAATTTCGGAATTTCGAGAATAAGAGGTATATTAGAATTCCAAGGTATTCCAATATATTTCAATTCCATTATAAATCCAAAGTATTCTATAAATTCGATTCCATTGCAATATTTTTAGTATTCTAATTTTATCGGATATATGTTCAACGAAAATTCCCCGATGAATTTCCAATATTCCATTAACTTCAATTCTATTCCAACATAATATTTCAATCAAAATCACACTTCTATTTCATTTTCCAAAACCGCCATTAAAACCTCAATTTTAACCCCCTCCCCCTACTCTCTCGAATACCTTCACAATTTCACAAGCACCATCACCAGAAGTACAACCGTACCGTCTAAAATTACTTAGGAAACCGTTTCGAATATTAAATTACTCCGCCAGTCTCCGTCCACCCCTTTTCATCAATCTCAACATCCCTCTCACTCTAAAATATCAATATAGAGCGAGAAAATCGAACATGCCCACGTGACTGTTGCAAATGGAATCGTTCAACTCATAGAAGTGTCTTCCTTCCACGAAAAGGGAGCCCAACACTTCACTGCCAACCAACCGACCGACCTTCCCTCTTCCCAACTAACCCTAGAAACGCTTTAACCCCTCTCCAGAGGCTGCATGTTTTCATCGAGGGTCGATTTAACTGAAAATACGGTTACATTTTCTCGTTAAATATTATATCAAGGAAAAAAAAAAAAAAAAGTATTAGCTCTTAGTTAGTGAGTTAAAAATGTGGATAAAAATGTGAGCTTTGGGAGTGTAAAAGAGAGTTTGATGTGTAATAAATTTATACCAGTTGAATTTTTTTGAATTTCGAATGACGTAGGATGAAAATGTTTTATTTGATTTTGAAGTTCGAATAAATCTCATATGTCGTTAGTTGATTGTTACTTGCATGAAGAATAGAGTTTAAACGGATGGGTGATTTTAAGAAAGAAAATTGGTCAAAAATACAAGTTGAACAATTTGAGAAATTTATTTTACATTATATGGGATCTTGTTATTAATGAAATATTTTATATTTGATTGTAAAAAATTTTTGGAAATTATGTAAGAGTTGGAAGGTAAATACTGCAAGATAATTTTATGAATACTCAGAAAATGACAAAGAAATGATACATAAACTGTTATTAAAAAATGTAGGAAAAATATTTTATATTTTTCAAACTTGTTAGATTAATTATAATATTAAATTTCAAATAATTCCATTGTGTATTTAGAAAGAATTTCTTTATTAATTTTTTACACAAATCCTTTCAATTTTAATGGTGCTTAAATTAAAGATTATGAGTTCATTTTAATTTAAGGTTATGTCCTCTTTAAGAAATTATTTCATCATTATTAAAAATTATATTATTTTTGTCAAAGGAATCTTTTTAATTCAATATTTCAGATGAAAAAATATTAACAGGAAAATTGAATATATAACATGAAATTCTTTAAAAATGTAAATTTCTTAAAATTTCTTATAATTATCTCGTAGTTTTTAAACTTGTTAAATGAACGTTTTTAATTTTAGTATACCTTAAATAAAAGAATATGAATAGATTGAGCGTAACGTAAGATTCTCTTCAAGCCGAGATACTGTTCCCAGAACTCGTAGTATCTTGAAAGAGACGTGGGTAACGTAAGCGATCCCATTCATAAACCTAAAATCAATGACGGATTGGTAGAAGGAAATTCGTGGCTGCGGATTGGACGCATATCGTCGCCATGATGGCATCACTGGCCAATCCCCGTGTTCGCCTCGTTTTCCACAGCTTCTGCACTCGTGGCCGACTCTTTCCTTCTCTCTTCATTTCTCTTTTTCCCAAGTTTCTTTGTCTTTTCTGTTTTCCTTTGTTTTCATATTTCCTTGATTCTCTTCTTCTTTCTTTCTCCTGTTTAGCATTTTAAAGCTAGCGTTTTATCGTTTTTTTTAGGATGATTCTTTTAAGATGAACTTCTCTCTAGAATTTTCCCTAGATTTAGCATCCAATCAGATTTTTGTGGATTTTTTTGTCTAATGTCGTCGTGTAGTATTTGCTTTTAATTTTATTATATTTTTTATTTTTTTTTAGTATAATTTTAAAAAGTTTCGAGTCTTTTCCAGTTCTCGTTATATTTCTGTATCTTCGATTTCGATAATCGCAGGATTTGATCAATCTTGCAAGAATTTTTATTTATTATAAACATTTATTTAACTTACATATGTTAATTTCAAATCTAACCTAAATAAACGAACTTAACCTAAGTCAATTCAAATTTAACTTAAAACAATTCAATTTTAACTTGTGTAAGTGTTCAAACTTAATTCAAACTTAATATAAATCTAATCAAAATGTAATTGAAATTTAAATCAAATCTAAATTTATCCAAACTTAATTCAGGCTTAACAAAAACCTCGGATATATGGATTCACATCTCAGAACTTTGACACCTAACCTAAATTTTATCCAAACATCAAGTATAATTCATACCAGCGTCGACATTGTTTCCACTAGAAGTAATCCAACATAAAATCTTCCTTCCTAAGACAGTATATAAAACGTGTTCCAATTCTCATTATGACGAGTCATTCACATTGCAATTCAGTGAGTTTGTCTAGTTTTTAAGACAAATGGCGCATTGCGTGCACCGGACAGGCGCAGTGCGCTACCTAAACGATAAACCCAAGAAACTTTGAAAGCAATCTCGACACGTGAATTTGAACTATGAATCTTTTCGATCGAATGTTAAACACCTCGAATCTCAAATTTTATTTGATTCCTAACTATATTGTTCTTTTTAAGTCAATAAAATAGTTTTATTAATTATTAATTGACCGTTTTCAACGAACACTTGATTTGATACTAAAGTCAATCGATATATATCGATATAACATATATAAAGCATTTTGATAATCGATTTACCATGCGAAGAAATTAGAGCGGCAGATTTAAAATATTTTCTATTTAAATTTTTTCATGTTATTATAAAATAATTAAAATTTAAATAATTTTAAAATTAATGAAGAAATATATTATGCATAAATATTTATTGTCAATTAATTTTAATCATTTTTCAAAATTTCAAATTATATTAGGAATATTTTCTTTTATTTATTTTTGTTTTTATTTATTTTTTTTTTAATCAGTCAACACAATTGGTTTGATTTATTTAATCCATTTTTTTTTTATTCTCCATGACAAAATTCTTTTGTATTTTTATTTAGCTCACTGATTTAAGAAGAAAAATAAACAAAATATAAAATGAAAATATTAAAATACAAAAGCTTGTAAAATATTTTTATTCTTTCTTCTTTTTCCATCATAGAAGAAAAATGCAAGGAGCGAAAGAAACGATTGTGATTTTTATTAATGTCACGAAGAAATGGGAGAGAGAATTAATTCGAAGTGATTTACAATAACTATTATCATCTGTGTAGGAAGGGGAAACCGGAAATGCGACGTTATATTGTTCTGTGGCTCTATGAAAAAAGTGGGTGAACCCCTCGGGCAGGCCATCCTTCATTTACAAACAAAGGTTCAGGAAAAAGTTTTTGAAGCGAAGACAATGGGATCATGGAAAAAGCACGCAGAACTCTCGATCCTCTTTTTCACTCCTTTCTCTCTCTTTTTTTCTCTCTTTCTCTATCTTTTTTTCCCCTATCATTCATCATGAATGAAATTTCGTAATTCCATCTCTGAGAAATCTTACGTTTCGTAAAGAATAAAAATATTTTATGGTTTTAATTTGGATTTCTAGTTGGATATTTTTTAGCGTTGTATAAAAAGAATTGGATTAAGAATTTCTGAAAAAATTTTCAATCAGAAAGACGATCCATTTTATATATAATTTATAATACAAATATTTGAAAAATATGCTATAAAAATCATAGATTTCTATTTTTTTTTTATATTTCATATTTTAAATAAAACAATTTTATCACTATAAAGTGTTAGTTTTAAAAAAATTCAACGATAATTTAACATGAAAATTCTATAATATTAATTTCTAAAAAAATGTAAAAAAATTAAATGAAAATTAAAGAAAAATTTAAGGAAATTTAAAGAAAAGTTAAAGATATAAAAACTTTAGTATATTTGCATAAGAAATTATAAAAGTTACTAAATGAAAAAGTAAAAAAAAAAAGTTGATAAGCGTAAAAGGAAGTAAAAGTACCCTTTTGTCATCAGCAGGTCTGGTGTAACTGAAAGCAAAGAGGAGCAAAACGTGGCGGATTCGGTGACCCCTCGGCTGTGACCAGAGGCGCACAGAGAATTAGGGCAAGGAAATGCGTGAATATAAAATAGTAGTGTTGGGCAGTGGAGGTGTAGGCAAGTCCGCCCTCACTGTCCAGTTCGTACAAGGAATCTTCGTCGAGAAGTACGATCCGACGATCGAGGACAGTTACCGCAAACAGGTCGAGGTCGACGGTCAACAATGTATGTTAGAAATCCTAGACACAGCCGGAACGGTGAGTTTTCTACCATATTCTTTACACTATCATTTTAGTCATTATTTCATCCATAAAAAACACTATTAAAGAATGGTATAATTTAAATTGTACAATAAAATTACTTTAAAGTATTTTTTGAAATTTCTTTTAAAACAATTTTTGTTAATTTAATTTTACTATTGAGTAATATATTAAATTTTATATATATAACAAAATAAAATATAAATAATAAATTCTAAATAATATTTTTTTGTTATATAAGCAGATAACAATTTTAGATATTAAACATTATATATTTTATATAAAATAATTTTTAAAATCATAATATTTTAACACATTATTAAAAAAAACATCTTAAGAAAAACAGTATCTTGGAAAATTATAATGCTCCTCAAAATAGTAAACAATCCAAGAGAAATTTCAATTTATTTTCAATTAAACTTCTGAAATTAATGGTCTTTATTTTAAAAAAATCATTTACTTTAAGTTCAGAAAAGATTGTGTACTCTTTATATAGAAATCATAAATTAACATCTCTCTACTCCTTTTTACAGGAACAATTCACAGCCATGAGGGATCTTTACATGAAAAATGGCCAAGGATTTGTGTTAGTATATTCGATAACGGCGCAATCGACGTTCAACGATTTGCAAGATCTCAGGGAGCAGATTCTACGGGTGAAGGATACAGATGACGTGCCTATGGTGCTGGTGGGCAACAAGTGTGACTTGGAAGATGAGAGGGTAGTGGGCAAAGACCAGGGCGTCAATCTTGCCCGGCAATTTAATTGCGCGTTCATGGAGACTTCTGCCAAAGCCAAAATTAATGTTAACGATGTGAGTAGTAGATGCAATTCAGAGACATGTTAAATTTTTTTAAAATTTTTAAAGTTCTAGATGAATAAAAAAAAAAAATCATTATGCCATTACAAAATAACAGTAGTTGTCTGAACAAAGGTGTCTGAGAGAACTATTATTGATTTTGAATTAATACTATGTGTAGGAGTTCAAGACCGTTACAAAGGTTGAGATATTCTAATTAAATGTGGGAATGTAATAGCCTAAGTGTAAGAATATGATTCACACGATATTATTTTCTAAAGTATGTATAAAACAATGCTTGAAAAACAAAAGAAAAAACTAAAAATTATGAGAATCATTTAATTATATTCCTATTTCCATTATTTTGATTAATTCAATATGTAAAATTTATATAAATTCAATATTATTGAAAAATGTAAATAAAATGTAAATTATTTATTGTTTTAATTTAAGATAAAAAAAAATAACTTCATTAAAGTAATAGGTATTATAGAAATTTACTACAAGGATTAAAAAAATAACTTGTTATAGTGCTATAAATTTAATTCCTCTAAACTTCAAAACTTTCTTTAAAATTGTAAAGTATAAATAAAAAAATAATAATAATCATGTCAATTTTATTTCATAATTGTAATATTAAAAAACAAAATTCAGTAATATAAATTAGAAAAATTACAAATAAAATGGTTTTTAAAAGGTTAATTTTATATTAAAAATTTTCTCTTTATGAAAAATTTTAAAAATAATTTTATTGAAATTTTGTCTTAGAAATTATTATATGAAATTATTTTAAAATCATTTCATTAATAAATTGATCTTCAAACGTTTGATATTTCCTTTCTTCCTGAAGAAAGTCTAAAAAACTTTCTAAAGATTTCACAATAAATTATATTTCAAAAAAATGATTAATGATTAAGAAAAAAGTAAATTTGAACTTAAATAAATAAAAAAAAATAATTTTTTAAAGAGATTAATTAAATAAATCTTCATAGAATATTTGAAATAAATTTTTATTTACATTTGTATCTGCAACTTGGAATTTAAGAGAATTCATTACAGAATTTCTTTTTTATATCTTTCCATACATACATACACATTTGAAGCATTTTCATTTTATTCTATTATCAATTACATAAGATTTTTTTAATTTAATATAAATAAATTATTTTCAGAAATTGTACCTTTTTGTACTATCATAGCTAAAATAAAGACTAGTTTTTATTTCATCAATACATACAAAAAACATAAACAATTCATAAATAATACTTTCTAAAATAATTTACTTTGGATAAATTCTATTTATACAGATATATTTATATATATCTGTTATGCAATTCATTATACATATAATCTAAATCTTTTTGAGTTAATTGAATTACTGTAGGAATTTTTGTATTCACATTCATATTTTATTAAATAATCAATTACTTTTCTTTTAATAAATCATAATACTATTATATAATCAAATATTTAAATTTGAATTTAGCATTCAGTCATTCTCAATATTGGATTAATGTTAAAAAAAATCTATTATTATAATTATTATAATCTATTATTAACAAAATAGAAATAAAATTTTATTATAGCAGCAATTTAATGTCATTCATAATAATGTATATCAATCAATAAAAACTTATTTCTGTTACAGATTTTCTATGATCTGGTACGACAAATAAACAAAAAATCACCAGAGAAGAAGATGAAGCAGAAAAAGAAATCGCTGTGCCTACTTCTGTAAGGTAGATCTAGCAGAAGCCTGTACTCTCCTGCATGAATAAATTCACAGAAAAAGGGAATAAATTAACTAATAACCAGCAACAAGTCCGGATACAACCAACGGATGATACAGGGGTTCAGGTGACCACGGAGAAAACTAAAGCTAGCTGACAAGGAGGGGGCTGACGGAATTATAAATAAATAGACGAAAAAAGGAAAGATACATACAAGAAGTCAAAATATAAAATATCAAGGAGAGGAAAAAAAATATAGAAGATGAAGATGACAATGAGAGGCAAAGAAAAGAGTGTGAAAGAAGGAAAGAATGAAGAAGAAAGTCAGAAAAAAATAAAACAGAGAATTAGAGGAGAGAGGGGAGGATATAAACAGCGAGTAAAAAATATAAAAAAAAAAAGGACTAATAATGTTGTACATACGTTGGTCCCGGGGTGGTTCGTGTGCACGCGCAAATACAGAGGCGCACAAAGAATTTTTAGTGTTAACGAGACCCCGCGGCGTCAGTTATCATTATAATAGGAGTTTTGCATTAAAGAAAAAAATAAGAAAAAAAAAAGGAGAGACAAGAAAGAAGAACAAGTATGGATGAAGAATAAAATATGATTAAGTAATGATTGTATATATATTTATATATTTATATAAAAATATATAAATGTATATATACATATTTAGGAGAAAAGAATGAAAAAAGAAAAAGAAAAATGTTTGGACGTGCGCGTGCGCAGGCCACCAGCCCCCATGCATCGCCCGCCGCGCACCTCTCTTATA